CGGTGACAGGGGAACTGACACTACACAACTTTACATAGTTCTATGCAATTTTCCTTGAGTAGATATTGCTCTGCCGTTTATACCGATCAACAAAATCGAGGGTATTTCTTCTTGGGCCTGACTTCTAACATTTTTCAGTGAACGTGATTCAGTGAACGTGAGTTTCGTGTTTGCTCGGTAGCGGTTTCACTTTCTCTTAGAAAAGAGATATTTTTACGAACATATATCTTGTGCTGAAATGTCAAGTATAGAGATAGTCACAGACAGGTTAGAGACGAGATTAGACTTCCACAGAATCTTTCGAGTGAATCGAAATTTCGTTTAATTTTTAACAGTTTCTTCCCTGTGTCGAGAACGAAAAACTAACTAAAATATTGAGCTACATTTAAACTGAAGATACAATATAGAATATTATTATTATTTAGTTTTTAAGGTAGCTACTAGCAACAAAGATTATTCAGACTTAAAGATGATGCGTTTGCTCTAGAAATTATCTGCTGAACAGACTATAGACAAGAACGTCCTATTTTTCCCAATTTAGACTCGTGGTTACGGTTCACATACATTTTTTCGTTCACCTCCTCGTGACCGAGACGTTTCTTTGTTTCCGTGTGATTCGACACAGCAGCGTTGCGCCGGCCGATCGGTTATTTCCATGAATCGGGTTGTGAATTCTCAATCTTCGGTACGAAGGGTACTAGTTTCCTCGGTGAAACCGCTGATTTGTGGCCGCTGCAAATCGATGTTGCCTTAATACTCGGAGCTATAAAGCGCCACGAAACGGAGCTACCGAGAGGATAATAGGAACCTCCTGGTGGTTTTCAAAAACGAGCTTCTTCCCCGCGTGCACACCGGCAATTTAATAACGGTACCGAGGCCGCGTTAAAGTGTAATGGTTTATGAAATCTACGCGGTCGGAAATTAAGATTTTCGGTTGTACGTAGCGACGTGCTCCACGCCACACGGGCTATCTAATTTCGGGGTTGCTAATCGTTAACGCTCGACTCGCTAAATTCATAATTTTCATGTATTTAACAATTCATACCGCTTCATACACAACAAGAAACATTTCGTCGAAGTCTATACATTACGGTATGCATAATGTACGAGTAGAAAATAACGACAAGCGAGAATATTTAGTGACAGGCGACACTAGCGAAATGATGAACGGTACCGAGAGTAGTTGTAAGTATCGAGAATTCCGGCAAAACATGTCACCCGCTTGGTACTCCGCCAACTTGCCATTCATTAAGTTTACCCATGCTTGCTGGCGTACGTGACTCGCCGTACGGAATAATTGGACTCGCGTTAAAATGACAGTTGCGAATGCATCGCGACGGTGGTTTTCCCATATCTTGGAAGGTGGCTCGTAAAACGTCAACTAGTTAGTGCCTCATTGGTTCCACTTTTCGCGACTCATGTCAAGAAAATAGACGAAAAAAAACCAATGACCAACCGAACTTCGCACCAAATTGGAATAGAGACACATGTTATCGAAATAAAAGGCGACAAATCTTCTTTCACGACTGTAAATTTATTTCACTTTTGACGTCTACCGTTGATTATCCACGTATTCGCGTGAAATAAAGCGAAATGGAAGAAAAATTTGCTGTCGAAACCGACAGAGTATCGTTATTCCAACGATACGAGGTATCAAAGTCAATGGGGCGTAATTATCTTTGAAATATCGATAATATCAGCGCTGTTCTCATGAAATATTAGGTACAATTTAATAGTTTGTCAGCACGTTGGTCGCGCAACCCCGAGAAATTAACGAGCTGGTTGGTCGGAAAAATTACGATAGGGCGTGTTACGCGTGCGCGCAAACAAGTAGAATATGAACCCGTGAATGCGCGCGCGCGCACACACGATAACTAGAAATACTTATTGCCTGGGTCCGTTCCACGGCTTCTTGAACCCGATAGAATCGTCTAGCCGCGGCCGGGGAAAGTTCAATAATCTGCCGCGGGAGATCTCCTGTCCGGCATTGAAGTCTCCAGCGGCGCGCTGCAGCATCTGCCGTTGCAACGACCGTACCTTCCTCCTCCGTCGTCGCTTCGTGAAAACGAATGAAAACTTTTGAATATATCATTTTTTATTTCGATGAATAAATTCCTCATCGAACGAATTAGCGAATCGTACGCGCAACGACACAGACGTCCGATCGAATTCGAAATTTCGAATATTCGTTGAATTTCAAAAGGGTACGCGGTTACGACGGTTTCCATGAATATTACCGTCATTTTAACGGACGTGACACGCCCAAGCCGACCGGAGCCCAATCGTTTTTAATACATTTCGCCGTCGTAACTACAAAGAGACCCACACCGTCGAAAACACAACGAGGCAGTAAACGTCAGAAACCGTGCTTTAACCCGGCGGAGTATAAGAATACGCCTTCCACGTGGAAACAGATTTATGGTAATCAAGGAGCCACTGGTTTTCTCTGCTTCGCTGACAGCAGTGCGAAGTTCGCTTTCCTTCTCTCTTTCGCTGTCGGGGGCTTTGTCTTTTATTGTTTTTTACAACTCTTTCGGTAAACGGAATTTCGATTTTCCAATAACCGGCCAAGATTTACTGCCCCCGGAGCGCACACCGCCTGCTCTCTCCGTAACCCTTCTGCTTCTTCGTGTTTCTTTTTTTTTTGTTCGTTCTTTCTTTCCTTCTTTCTTAGTTTCTCCTTTTTTGCTCGCTATACGGCGTTACTTCCTTTTCGATTTTTTTCCCCTCCTGCACGGGACGTGTTTTTTACTGCCCCTCCGTACGCCCCACGAAGAAGACAGACTGACAACGTCCTTCTCCTTCGCGAAATGGATTCTCACACGTACAGGGGGCGTGCACGCACGCACACACGTCACCATCCGAGCCGGCACCACCTCTCGTCCCGAGCTTGTAAGTAATGCATGCGCGACTTCAAACCGATCGTCAAAGTCAGCCGGACGTCGGGGGCCTTATACGAGAGGAGAATAGGGTGCCCTGGGATTTCGTTGTGTGCCCAAACACACGCGCGACCATTTTTCAGGGAGGGGCGGGGAAGAGAACCAGAATGTATACGCGTACCACGTTTTTCGGACGTGGTGTACACGGTGTGTGCGTTCCATGATAAAAAAGTCACGATACGAAGTGATTCCACCGGTGGCCAGACTATCGGAACACACACGCCAATCTCGGAATATTTTATTTCACGTACGTATCCCAATTTAATGAGATTTTTTACGACGCCGCCCTCGATAATATCGTTCTAGACCGCGATTATTCGGCTGTCCCCCGTAATTTTTGTACACGATACGTCCAGCACTCGGAGATTCCAACCCCGTGGTATCTCGATTCCGGCAAAAATTTTTCGTTTTACGAGCGTTCCTTCGCGGATCGAATTAGCCGGTGCGGTCGACGATCGAGAAAAACGATCGGCAAGAAATTCGAGACGATCGAGAAAATTACGCGCCGAGCAGGTTTTTCGCGGTTTGAGGGAGGGGAAAAGAAGGGGTATCGCCACAGATTACAATGTTGACGCGACTCACGACGACGCCACCGTGGATTTTACACACGTTTAACCGTGAGACGGTAAGAAGTATATATCGCGGACTACGCAAATTGTCTGCGCAACGTGGTAAAAGAAATTGCTCGACTAACAAGCTGCATATAAGGACAACGCACATGGAGAGAAAGATAAAAAGGAGAAACGTTATATGAGACCGTTGGTAACTGGAACTCGCTGAACTGTTACGCGTGATTTCCACGATTTCGACGCAACTACGACAATTTTTGGAGTCGTTAGAGGAGTGGGTCGGGTGCACGAGCACGAACTTTTTTTGCTCCGATTCGCACGTGAATCGAGCGCAGCTCGCGGAAAGAGCAGAAAAATACCGTGACAAATTAGATTAACCACATAATGCGGATTTAATTGGCGGTGTGCGCGCGCGCTCGCGGTGAATCTTGTATCTGCTGCCTCGGTTTACCGAGCGCCAACGATTTCACCCAGAGTAGGAAGCGACGAGGAACGCTAATAGATTTTTTTTCACAGATAAAATAACGAGCCTCGTTACGCGGATCGGATTTGCACGTCTCGTGTGAAAGGATCACCGAGCTACACGAAAAACGTGGAATTCAGCGAAAAAATCTTCACTGAAACTTAACACGTTTTTTTCCCGGACACTTTCTTCCTATTAATCGTCCGTTTAGTACTCGAGTAACCGATCACTTTCGAAAGTACATTTCACTATATTACAGAAATTTCACTATAGAATTAAAAAACTATACCTTCAAACATATCATGTTCATAGTCTTTGATGCAATTTTTTTACATCCGTCTGTTAAGCATTTTCAAAATTCGTTTTCGAAATTCGAGGAAAGCAGAACTGAATAACAGTAGAGAAAATAAAGATCGAATTCAACAAGACACGAAAATTTCCATACGTGGTCGACCAACGGAACAGAGACAAACTCGAAACGGTTCACAGAGAATTTCATCGTTCGTGTCCCCCGAACCGGGCACAATTTCCCGTGACCACGCTGGAAACCGGCCGTTTCTTCTCTTTTATCGCCGACGATTTGGACGACGGCGGAGGCGAAACGATCTCGGACGCGGGCCATTCGCGAGCGCATTAAACCGAGCACGACGTCGCGATGCACCCTGTAATTTTGGCAGACACGATACCCGCGTACGGCCCCGACGCGATAAAAGCTCCGCCGGAAGCGGACGGAAGAGGAGAAGACCGGCGAAAGGGAGACAGAGAGAAAGACAGGGATCGTTGCTCAAAAGCGACGACGCCGTGAGAAATCGATTCCCCGGCGACGACTTTGAAAACGCTTTGGCACGCGTGCCAGGCGGCGAACGTTGAGCGTTCTCGGCGTCGTCGTCGTAGTCCTCGGAATGGAGTAGTAGAAGATCTTAGGGGAAAACGCTCGGGGGTCACGTGGGCCATTCTCGCATTCTTTTTTGATCGTAGAAACATTGGTTGTCCGTCAAAGGGGGGAAAATTGCACAACACGACACTTACATGGAATTAGTGATGTTCCAGTACATGCTGATCGTCTTCGCGCAGTTGCTCACTGTCGAGAGTAGTACCGTTTGCAGGCAAACGAGGAACACCAAAGTCACTAAGGACGAGGAAACCATCGTAACAACGTGGACAACGACCAGCACCGTCACCACGTTCACCGGGACGTAACAAAAAATAACGACGACGACGACGACAACAACAGGAACAGCAACAACAACACCTGCACCGTCGTTGCTGTCGTCCACAACAACCACGTTCCACCACCGTTACACGGAAACCACATCCACACTTCACTTTCCTCGAACGGTTAACGGTTCCCCCCAGTAGCGTTGTTTTTTTTTTCGTTTTCCACGATTCTACTAACTCGTACACCTTCTGTATCCCGTTTTTGGCCGGCTCGGTTTATCCACGAGACATACCCAAGAACGGCCGGGACGACCACTTCCAAAACACCTAGTCTAGGGCCCTCCTCGTACGAAGGCGGTAGAGAAAACGAACAGTAAATCCACTGGATCTCACGAAATCGCGGGTCTTAGTCGATGGAATCGGTCGCGATCGCCGTCCGATTAGAACCGATCGAGTTTCTCCGGTGTTCGGCTGCTTCCAACGTAGTCGTCCACCGAGGTACGCGTTCCATGGATCCACCCCGTGTTTCTCTCACCTGGAGCGCACCTTGCGAGCCCTCTCATTGGTCCAACGTTTCCGTACTCCAATTCAACCGAAGAACATTCAACGGACGACAGTCTCGGATCGGTACCACGGAAACCCGAGTCATCTGAGTGAGAATACTCCAAACAGTTCGGCGATTAACTCCAAACGAAAGATCCAAACGAACGTTGTATCCGACGGGTATTCACTCTCGATCACCGAACGATCAACCTGCCGACCATCTCACAGAACCTCTCCGCTCGATAGCCGAGCAGCGAAACGTTAAAAGACCGAACCAACGAAGAAAACAACAAATCTCACACGGAATCAACTGTTTTCGTCACCACAGAAAATTCCGATTACTTGGAAAAAAAACATAAAATAAAAACACTGGTACGGGTACAGAAGCACGAAGTCTCCTCTCTCCGCACGGCACTCCTGGCAGAAACCAGGCAGGGGGGAAGAGGACGAGCAAGAAACTCCGGAGTCAAAGATCGCACTGGAGGATCTCACGAAGAGCACAAGAAACGTAGCGAAACGAGGCGGTATCCTTCTCGCCTGGAGCACACCCCCGGTTACTTTCTCACGCACTTGCGATTCGCACGGGTCCGCGTTAGTCGTTGAACCTGGTATTCGTCGTGGAAAAAAAAATTATCTTGATTCTTCACCTCCACGATCCAAACGTGCCCGGCGTGCGGAGTCGCTCTGTGATCAGAGGACGATATACTGGCGAGAGTGGAGGTTCGTACGAGACGAAGCCTCGGGTTCGAACGCAACGAGAGAACGTATACACCTCCTTACTGCTCGGTGTCGCGGACGCGTCTGTCGGCCGAACGGACTGTCGCGGCCGTTCGTCTCGCGTCGGCTGACTCGAACGAGCGAACGGGGGTGTCGGGGAACGCCGAGCGACGACGGAACCGCACGAACCACGAGGACCCTCTCTGTTCTCCCCACTCCACCCCTTCCCATTACCCTCCCCTCCGTCGGCTCGACGTGTCTCGCTTCGCTCGGCGACTATACGGTATTACGCCGCCTGCTCGCGAGACGCGAGTTTCCGAGTGGAGGATCCTAACCCGTCGCGTTCCGCGTTCTCTCCGCCGCCGTCGGGGAATCGCGGGGCCCCCGGCTCGAGAGTGTGCCGATACGAAAACAAGTGCCAGGAACGCGAGATCGTGTTTTCTACCCGTGAAATTTTGTCGCCCGAGCGGATTCCGCCGACCTTTGCGGATTTCTGGATCTACTCTTCTTGGAGTTCTCGTTCTCTCTGCCCTTTGGAAGAAATCTTGTAGGGGTTTCGGGGTCCGAGGTTACCATATTTCGGGGTTTTACAGAGTTTATCGAGGAGTTAGATACGTATTCCGTATGATTCGATCGACGATCATGAAGTGATTCGACGATTTTCGGCGTGTTTCGACTGTTTTATTCCGTTGTTTTTCTCCAAACACGAGAAGAGTATGCATTTCATGGAAGAGGCGGGGCGTGAATTTTCGGTGGTCGAGTTTCATCACGAGGTGCCGGGAATTGGAATTCTTTCGTTCGTTTTTTTTTAGAGGGAGGAGGGGGGGAAGCAATTTTCGCGAGGGAATTACGTTTCGACGACGGGGGGGCGCTTTATTCCATCCGGGTGCCATGTTTGGTCCGCTGGTGAGTTTTCGAAGTCGATTGAACACCATTAAAATGAATTCGCATAATTACGCGCGGGAAGATAAGATATGTGTAATTTTCTGGTTGAATTCACGGGTTATCGTTCCACGCACTCTCCCGGCTTTCAATATATCGGCGTTATAAATATTCACGGTTCTGCGTAAAGGTTTCTCGAGTGAAAGGAGAAATGTTTTCAAGAGAACGATCGATCGATCGGTTCAGGTCCCCGTCATTTAACGAGGAGGTCGTTTAACCTGTGTTTCGTGATCTCTTGTGTATATACATACATGTATACCAAGAAAAGGGTCTTGGATTGAAAGCTTGAGGGATACAAACAGGCCCGAGGACCAACGATCGAGATCGGGGACAAGTTTCGCGACAACGCGAACCACTTTGTTTTCCATTTAAATCAGAAAATTGGGCCAGCTTCTTGGATTTCGTCGAGACGTTTGGTCTCGGAAAAGACAGTTTGACACTCATTAACAAAAGCAAGCGGCGTGATAAATGGTCCCGGGGACGTGGGGCAGCTCCCCGACTCGACGTTCTGGAATTGCGAAACTCGCGCGGAATTTAATTTCCAGAACGCGAACACCTCCCTCCCCTCCCCAGCTCCCTCCGTGGAACATTGTTTCCATCGAGTTGGTGCACACTGATTACACAACCGTCCCTTAAGCCTCATTACCGTCACTGAAAATTTCCATACATCTCAACGATGCGGCGCATAACCACCACGACCCCGAGAGTAGACGTGGCCGGTACGGATCACGATTCGCCTCGAGAGTCTCGCGAGAGCTACGAATTAGCGGTCCCTTCTCGTTTTCTTTTTCCCGTCGCGACCGAGGAGCTTTTAAGAGGAGCCGTGAGTGCTTCCTTGACTTACGATCGCCGTTCCAGTCCCCGTTTCCTGTTTCACTTTTCGGCACGCGCCCTCAACCTTTCCATTTTTCCCCGACATCCTCGAGATTTCCCCGGTTCTCGAAGTCGAAGTCACTTTAGTTCGAACCGTCCAATTTGGACTTCTGTCCGAGTCGTTGGTATAAATATAGGCACCTTTGAGACTGTTTTATATTTAGCGGTGTGTTATGTTAATCGTCTTCACGGAAAGTGTTAAAAATAGTTATTTACAAGTATTGATTACGCACTTTTAATTTGTCCGACTGACGGGAAGTGTTTCGATGACTGTATACAGAGTTTCAGAAATTCCTAGTAAAGTACAAAAGCCAAAACAGTCTCGAATGAAACGGTCTACCGATCTGGCCTTGACGCAACATTATTCGACATCGATAGAATCGTTTCTCAAAGTTCCTTTGCCGATGAACTGGTCATTTCAGAATGGCAATCATTCGAACCCATCTTTCTCCGATACGGTTTCTTTGTCCGTGTCGATTGATTCATCGATGGCTCGCGATCCCGAGAACCGATGCACAAGAGAGTCAATTAGGCGAAGCAATTTCAGAGATGACTTATCGAAAAAATGCAAATTAATCTGCCAATAATGTTTCCCTATCCGTTTGTCCATCTTTTCTTTCATTGTGCGTTCCGATAGTTCGACGGGTTGGCCGAATCTCTTCTAAGACGATCTAACCAGGGGCAAAAAGGGATCATGTGTGCTCTCACGTACAAAATATGAGAGTGGTAGAGGGAAGAGAAAGAGAGAGAAATACCGAGAGGTTGAGAGGAACGATGCCATGGGAGCGTGCATACATTCATCGCGAATGCACCCGAGTACGTGGCGCCCTCATCGCAGAACGATGATCATTCCCCGTATTGCTTCGCCGTCTGCAACGATCTTCTCGGGGGCATGCTCCTCGAATCTCGAAGAACCGGTATCCTACCCACGGACAGTCATGTCGGTCATTAGTCCGCCTAATGTAACGCTTCAAATTCTATCGGTCCACGGGACTTGCATCCTCCCACTAGAAAGTCGATGAATCGTTAATAGAGGACACGGAACACGCCCGATTCTAACGATTCCCCAGATTTCACCTGGGGAATGTTTCCTGGAAGAGCCTAACCTCTTTTTTTTTTTTGCATCTACGGTGTTAGCTGTGGGTTTGGACTGAAATGATTCGTGGGACGAAAATATTGGTACAGTAAAAGTGTGAATGTAAAAATGGCTATAGCTTCTGCATTATTAAATGCAGGCTGTTTCCAGAAATTGTGGTACAACCGGCTGGGTGGTGATTCTACATGCAAACATAAGTGAAAAGAAAGAATAACATTTTTTCATTTAAGGCTTCGTTTTCGAAAATAAAATGAGCTTGAGAATTTATCTAAATCACGTGTATTTGTTCTGGCAATAAGTAGAAACGGTCTGCAATGAACGTACACGTTAGCCAAGTGCTATGCTGTTGCCCGGGTATCCAACAAAGTTTCAGACTTGATTATCTGGAAAACAAAGCACCATCCGAAAAAATTTTATTCTTTCTTTTCGATTTATTTTTTTATGTAGAATCACCACCTGGTCGGTTGTGCCACAATTTTGGAGAATCCCTGTATATTCAAATATATGTATTCGTATATTATGCATGTCTGTATACAGACATTTTTAGTAGGAATTAATTACAGAAATGAAAGTTAATTAGGTTGTTAATGATAGTGTATGGTATACGATTACATATAATGAAGTATTATTAACCCCACTGACGACCGTAAACGTACCAATACGCCATATGGTTTCTCTGCCATTTTCGGCATTACAATTTCAAATATTCATTTCTTCTTAATTGTATAGGTTTTTTAGGAAATGTAATAATTTGTCTCTATTAGGTTAAAACTTCTCGTTATCACATTTAGAAATAATCTATTTATATGTGTTTTATTGAAATACGGTGATACTCACACGAGAAGCTTGAAACCCATGGTCTTCAATAAGTCAATAATACAGTAAACATATTAATTTTTATTTTTTACATTTTTACTGTATCAATATTTTTTAATGATCATTTCCTAAATGTCGGTGGAGTTTAACCCTTATGTAGGTATCCATTT